CCCGAAACTAATATTTTTAAAAATATTATTTATAAAGTTAAAAACAAAGGATAAGTTAAATTTAAAAAAAAGTACCAATTTGCTCAAATATAAAATATGACTTTGTAAAATCAATACAATTTGCTAAAACTCATAATTATGACTATTAATTAATTTTCAATCAATTTGCTATATCTAAAATTATAAATTTAACCTAATTTTGATTGAATTTGCTAAAACTCAAATGTGAGTTATATATGTGATATCTGGGGTCCTCAAATAATGGTATGTTTTTTAATTGAAATTAATAATAAATTAATAATTTATTTTATTAAAATTAATTCACCTTTTTCCAAAAATTATAGAACTGAATTTTTATCTAGAAATTAACATTTAAATTTAAGCATATTTTTTATATACATATATATTTTTCTTTTACATTATAAAAAAAATTTATTATGTATCAGATATTAAAAATATTAAAACATCATTTATAGAAACTAAAAATAGGAATAAAATTTTCAATAACTGATAATGATTCATATTTTTCATAATAAAAGGCATATTATATTAGTTGTATTATAAAAAATTAAGGATTTGGACAGATAATTCTTTGTTTAATACATCAGGATGTATCATTCATTAAGTAATATAATTGTCTATTTTCAAAAGACAAAATATCATGTAAAACTGAGTTATCATTACTAAGGTTGCTTGCCGAAACCTAGGGGTTTAGGCAAGATGGCATTTCGCCGAAAAGCGAAATTCTGCTGAAACTATATTAAAGTTATATTAAAAAACTGGTGAAACTTTGGAGAAAGGTGAAACTGCCGAAACTTATTATAAATGCCGAAACTGCCGAAATTCTGCCGAAACTATAATAAATCTATAGTAAAATTTTGATGAAACTAATCATAGGATTTTGAAGAGGTTTAGACAAACAACCTTAATCATTACTATTATTTCCTCCTCCCATATAAGATCAGAAACTGTGCAGCCGAAGATTGTTGCTAACTTTTCTGCTATATACATGTTGCTTATCCTTATAGATTACTTATGGTTTACCCATTGTTTAATTACTTATTTTTTACTGAGAGAGGCAGGATGTAAACTGCCTGCTGATCTACTTGCTGACCTACCTGTTTACTCAGTTTGCTATCTCACTGCTAAGGTTGCTTGCCGAAACTAGGAGGTTTCGGCAAGATGGTGTATGCGAAACTGCCAAAACTAGTTTCGCAAAATTGGTCTAAAATGTTGAAATGCCGTAACTGCCGAAACCTGCCGAAACTGTCTCAGCTGCCGTAACTGTTTCGGCATA